CAGGCAAGCGCGCTACCGCTTGAGCCACATCCCCAGCCCAAGTCTTGAAGTCTTGACAACCCTGAGTTTAAATTCCAACCATGAGTTTTAATTCCATTTCTTAGAGGTATGACCATGAACAAGTTATTCAACCTCTCTAAAGTAAAGATAATTAATATCTCCCTTATATGTGAGGAACAAATAAAATAATACAAACAAAATGTTGAAATAGTGCCTGGGTAAATAATATGTATGTGATAAATGCAGCTATAAGTTATTACAACTATGTAAAAGTAGTTTTATATGCAATCCACTATTCTATAAAACTCATGCACTTCAAAGCAAATGTATCACAGCTTAATTTACAAATCTCATAGGGAGGGCTGGGAGTGTGGCTTAATGGTAATGCTCAGCATGGGAAGAGCTTTGGGTTCAATCCCAGCAACACACACACAAACACCAAAAAAAAAAAACACAAAAACCCTCATGGGGGGAGAAAACTAGGAAATAAATACATTTCTTTGAAAATAACAAAAATGGAAATAGTTGAAATTACCATCAGAAGTTCTAGTTTTAAAAAAAGTTTTAAGAGAAAGATATAAGGATTAAGAAACACCAATCCACATTAGCCAAATTCCTATAACTCTATACAGCTCACCTCTGTATTAGGGCTATGTACTTCTGACCAGCAACTAGAGGGAGAAACAAGAGACCAGAGAAACTAAGCTGGAATTATGAACTAGAGTTTACAGAACCTTCCTGAATCTTATTTTCATACTTCATTCTCCACCCAATTTATCATCTGAAAAATCATTAATGAAGCACTGCTGCAGCAGAATATGAGTAGAAAGCAAACAGAGAGTCAGGTCCTTAGCCAGCTTCCATCATAAAGTCAATATAAGAGTTTAAACCTTTTGGATAAATCAAAGGGTTATACCCAATGATAAGATAGTCCTGATAGGCTACTTTATAGGCCAGTAACATATAAGTAGAATGTTGTGAGGCGGGTTCCAGATGCTCTCTTCCTCCATTCTACTGTCTGGAACTTGGGTATACTTGTCATCTTGGACTATAAGAACCAGAACCATACTCTAGCTTTTACAGAGGCGAAAGCTGGAAGGAGTCTAAGCTCCAGTGAACTCCACAGAACTACCACCCCTTGACTACCACAACTACCTACCTGCCAACTTTTTAGACAAGAATAAAATCTTAGGGCTGGAGTTGCGGCTCAGCAGTAGAGTGCTCACCTAGCTCATATGAGGCACTGGGATCGATCCTCAGCACCACATATAAATAAATCAAATAAAGGTATTGTGTACACTTACAACTAAAAAAAAAGCTTTAAAAAAAGAATAAAATCTTAATTTAATTCACTGATAATTTGGGATCCCCCACATAAAGTTGAACCTAAACCTTATACAGGTGCCATTTGCAGATTCCCAACCTCCATTCACACTGATCAAATTTTAGAAAGCTGATGGCAGACTTTTTCATGGAAGGAAACAGGAAGCTTTCTTTCTAAAGAAACTTATCACCACAAAGTTTGTGGTGAAATGCTGAAATGTGCAGCTTCCAAAATAAAAGTAAAGCAAAACAGCAGCGTTCCCATGTGATCACCATACAGTTCAACATTTTCAAGGCTGTTCTACTCAATTTTTAATAAAAATCATTTTATAAAGGATAAAGTTCCTTTAATATAAATGATTTTTAAGTAAGCATGCTTATTAATATTGTACAAATAAATGTTTATCTTACAACATTTAATCCAGCATCTACAAGTCAAGTATATCATTGGAGTTTTGTATGTGGAGCTGTGTACCAGCCCTTATTAAGCTATCTTCTACTCTTTAGGAATTAGTTTAAAACTTCTTTTTCAAAGTTCATTAGTTTAAAAGTTCATTAGGCTAAAAAGTAAATGTTCAGTTTACACAATTATCAAAAATAATCATAAAAATGAGATATTCTGCTTAATTTGAATATCTCACAACTGTTTGATTCAAAACTATCTTATTTTACAGTGTATATACCCATAGAATTTTTGTACACATCTCCATTAAATATTTTAGCAGCCTGGAAAAAGTTTATCAACTTACCCTAATTCCACAAAAAAGGGCAAAAAGGGCAAAAAAAAAAAAAGTTAAAAACCTTAATAGCTGCAGTAGGAGAGGACCATACAAAGGTAACTAAAGAAACACAGTTTCAAGGAAAAAGTCTCTGCAATAGCTCCACTACCTAAGAACAGTTTCCACATACATGCCTGGTTGGAAAACAAAGAATCCCAAGTTCAAAGATAGCCTCAGCAACTCAGTGAGGCCCTAAATAAGTTAGCAAGACCCTGTCTCAAAAAATAAAAAGGGCCGCAGATGGGGCTAAGTGATTAAACACCCCTGGGTTCAATCCCTAGTACCAAAAAAGGAATAAACAAATGTTTTTTTAAAGTTCCTACCAGCATCCTATCTGAAGCATTATCCAATATCCTCCTTTGTCAGTCTTAAAATCCTGTGCCAACTGCCCCTGAAGACACCAAGTTCCTTCACCACTGGAACCAAACCTAGTCAACAAGGTTTTTACAGGTTCATTATACCACAAGTATGCTTTATTAATAATACTAATTGGGGCTGGAGTTGTAGCTCAGCGGTAGAGTGCTCACCTAGCATGTTCGAGGCACTGGGTTCCATCCTCAGCACCACATAAAAATAAATAAAGAAAATAAAGGTAACGTGTCCAACTACAACTAAAAATATATATATTTTAAAAAAATACTAATTGAAAATCCTCATTAAATCTACATGTAAAAACAACTTTGAAGATTTTTTAAAATAGGTTAATTCTAGAAAAATGGCCTAAGTATTCCTAGGTTAACTTTAAAACTGTTTAAGTTGCTGTGTGCGTTGGTGCACCCTGTAATCCCAGCAACTGGGGAGGCTGAGGTAGGAGGATGGCAAGTTACAGGCCAGCCTCAGCAACTTAGGGAGGCCCTAAGCAATGTAGCAAAATTCCTGCCTCAAAATAAAATATAAAAAAAGGGCTGGGGATGTGGCTCAGTGGTGAAGCATCCCTAGGTTCAATCCCCATAACAAAAAAAATGTGTTTATGCTAAGCATCAGACTAATGATTCTTACAGTCCAACAGTCTTGGCTCTAAAATTGACAGCAAGTAGTCATAATCTCTGAGCAATCTGTTTAATATCTCCTCCTTTGAGGAACCAACCCTTCCTCTGTCCAAACTTTTGCTTTGATCTATGAGGGATGGAAAAGTTAAACCAGCTGTTTAACCCAAAAGTCATTAAATTAGCCTATTTCCCACCACCTATTTCCCAAAAAGGGGTACAAACAGAACAAATAAACGGCCTCCATGGACTTTCAACAGAGCTAGGAGAAAGTCTACTGAGTGTTATGATTATTACATTTACTATAAGAGCTGCTACTGGGCCATCTCTCTCTAAGAAGACAGCATCATAGAGACAGATGATCTCCAGTGATGTCTAAACATAATGAATACATTTAGACATTTCAATTACCAGAGTCTTTTCTTAACTTAGGCTGGTTAAACCTGGATTTCTGCTATTCTACTACTTGCACCCTAATATACTTCCTCTTCTCCTGTGAAACGAGAATGTTAGAGGAAATGAGATCATAAAGTGCCACAAAAATGCTGTCATGGTTAACGTAAAATACCAAAAAAAAAAAAAGAACCTTTTTTAAATACAGAATGAGGTCAATATGCATTTGCTAAAATAACAACTTATTCCATTACTGTGCATACCTGTTTGTAAACAGATTTTAAAACATACTTTGAATGTTCCATTGTGTCACTCAAGTTTTACTTCAAATAACTGTAGCTCCTAACTTCTAGAATTATTCATCCGTCGTTTAATAACTTTGAATTTAAGACTGCCCACTTCAAGTGAACCACGTAATGAGTAATAAACAGACACTTGCTCCAAGTGTCCCGATTCCCCCACTTCCCTCAAGCAACTACTATTATGAAACCTAAATGTGGATCAAAAAGTCATAAGACAGTGACAGGAAAACAGGGGGAGAAGGAAGTCTTCAGTCTGAGACATCAAAAAGTGAAAACTAGTTGAGTAAAGGTGACAAGAGAAATCAGTACGTGGCAGACTATTCCTCCCAAGTATCCAGCCTTGGCAACCAAAGGGCAGGGTTACCTCCGGGCCGCGGGGCCGGTGGAGCTCACCAGGAAAGAATGCAGACCACACCTACGCTCCTGCCCAAGCTGGGGCGGGGCGGTTCGGCCTGGGCCACCGGCTCCGGAGAGTGAGGAAGGAAGGAGGCGGCTACACTCAAAACCTGACTTCAACACCCGCCCCCGCCCCCGGCCCCGCGCCCACCTCAGGAGCGTTTCCAGCGCTCCCTCGTGCTTGTCCAGCGGGCGGCCGAGGGCGGCTCGGCGCAGCTTGCTGAGCTCCTCCGCGGCGCGGCAGTACTGGGCCTGCTCCTCTCCGCCACTCGGGTACGTCTGCTGGATGAACTTCACCAGCGGCTTGGCCAAGTCCACCTCCGAGGTCTTTTTCAGCTGCACCGAGATGAACGTTGCCATAATGACCACCCGGCCGCCGTTCGGGCCAAAAAGACGGCGGGACAGTGATGAGGGCCGAGGCGCGCCGGACACCGGGCGGCGGACGAGCGGACCGACGGGCTGACGGACGTTCGGTCGGCCGGCGCACCGAGTCTGTCCACTTCCGGGAGCTCTGGCGCAGGCGCACTCTGAGAGACGCGCGCGCCGCACGCGGTCACGTGAAGGAGTTGCCGCGGCGTCACTCACCTGGTTCCCGCTGCGCGGTGGGGTCCTGGCTTAATCTTAAGTTATGGAGGTCTCCCCTTTTTCTTTACTGTCTGGACGGGTGGACTGGACACTTTCACGTAAGAATAACTACTGTTCCACTCCCTGCTGAAGTACGCCTGCTGTACTTACAGCTGCGAGGCTTTTCAATTACCTGCCCAAGACCTTGCAGCCTCCAGGTTATGTTGACCAATGATATTTCATTGAGCCACTGTTGACGGCCTGCTGTGTACATATTCTTGAGTGTACCGGGAACCTGAGTAAATAAGATTCCTGCTTTTTTGCAGTTTACAGTCAGGTAAGGACACTGACGGTAAGGTAAAATATCATAATGATAAAAGGGGAGTTGGTTGTGGGAGCTTGAAATTTAGGATATGTGGTCCCTTGGAAGAATCAGACTTAAATGAGAAAAAAGGCTTTCTTTACAAAGGTGAACTTAAAAAGACTCTTGCAAAGTTCCCACCCTAACTTGGGATATGAAAGAATTCCACTGCCCTTCTTAAGCCCACCCTCCCCCACTGTAGTAGTGTAGCCCAGTGGTTCTCAGACAAGTGATTGTACACTTGAAGGAACATTTAGCAATAATTAGAGACATTTTTAGTTGCAACTAGCAACTAATAGGTAGAGTCCGGAGATGCTACTAAACATCCTATAATGCACGGGATAGTCCCCACAACAAAGGTTATCTGGCCTAAAACATCAATACTAAGGGTGAGGGTCTCTTGAAAAGCATACTGTTATGAACAAGTTCCAAATTTTGAGAAATATACTGCTGGGGTTATAGTCTGATCCATTTGGAAACGGTAGATTGTTCCAAAGAATGAATGAAGGCTTGTCTTGAGAAGTTAGAAGAAAGCATTGTTGGAGAGATATCACTGCCTAAGTAAGAATAAAGGGAGAGAAGTAAGGAATGGGGTAGACCAATGAGGATTGACTTTCTTGAGAACTTTTCCATTAAAGTAAGGAGAAAGTCATTGTAATTTTCTTTGTTGGCCAATCCTCATTAAAGGGAAAGTAAAGGAACAAGACAACAAAGAATTTGAATGACCTCATACTCAGACCTCTGCTGATCCCATGGGAAGAAGCTACATGCTAGGAACTCTATCCAGAGGTTCCAAGTTGTGACCAGCAGCTATATGATTAGAGAAACACACAAGTGAGGAGTGAGTTTAGGTGTAAAACTAAGGGATTTAATGTAAGTTGGTATGTCTGGTAATGTTACAGTCCTCCTACCTCCCATGTACCTTCATCCATTCACCCTTCCCTGATCTTCACCTTGTTATCCTCAACTCTCTTTGTTTTGTATCTTAAGGCTGAAGAGATAAGGGTGTGGCTCAGACCTTAGATCATTGTGTAATGCGTTCTCAAGCCCAAGTAGTTTTATTTTTTAATATTTATTTTTTAGTTGTTGAGCACAATACCTTTATTTTATTTATTTTTTTTAATGTGGTGCTGAAGATCGAACCCAGGGCCCCTGCACATTCTAGGTGAGCACTCTACCGCTGAGCCACAATCCCAGCCCCTAAAAAAAACAGCACTATTTTGCCTATTGAGCCAATAGGTTTGCCCAAGATATCAAACTCACCTTTTTGCTGTTTTGAGAGAATTTTTGAAAGTCATCTCTCTTTCCCTAGATGTTGATGAAGAAACATATCTCTGTATGTCAGGGTTCTTGTACACAATAGAAATGAATCATGAATAGTTTGAGTAGGAGAAACTTTTTAGTAAAGCACATCAGGGAGTTCAGAGAATCAAGCTTTAGACCCGCACAGCTGAATATACCATGTTACAGACTGCTTCAGAGAATACATCTCTGCTGCCCCATAGAGCACAAACACCCCACTGCAAAAGGTTGCTGGGCCCTAAAGGTTTGTACCTGAACCTGTGCAACTGCTGCTTCTGGAGATAGTACTTCCATCTTGGCCAGAAGGGTTTCTGCATGGCTCTTGGAATCTTCATGTCACTGGATTCCACAGAGCTGCAATAGAGTCTTGGAAACAGAATTTCTGAATTCCATTTTGAAGGAAGTAAGGACTTCATCTGATGAGATGGAAAATTGCATATTGGAAAGGTTTTCAAAGAAGGCTTGCTGCCAAAAATAGTACATGTATCAAAAAAAAGAAAGAAAGAAAAAAAGAAAAAGTGCATGTATCCTCTCTACACTGGGAGTTGTGGTCAGCCATCTTGTAGTATTGATGGAGAATTAGCCTAATGATGAAAGTGACATACCAGAACTGAGAAAGGACAGTGGGAAGAAACCGAGTGCTTATATACCTGCTTCTCAATGGTTAATTTGAGAGGAGGGGGATGTTAATGAGATTAAACCCAGAGACACTTTACAACTGAACTACATCCCCAGCCCTTTATTTTTTGAGACAGGATCTCTGGGCTGCGGTTGTAGCTCAGTAGTAGACCACTGTCCTATCATGTGTGAGGCACTGGGTTCAATTCTCAGCACCGCATATAAATAAATAAAAAATAAAGGTTCATCAACAACTAAAAATATATATATTTTTAAAAAAGATAGGGTCTCACTAAGTTTCTTAGAGCATTGCTAAGCTGCTGAGGCTGGCCTCAAACTTGTGATCTTTCTGCCTCAGCCTCCCAAGCCACTGGAATTATAGTTGTGTGCACCACTACACCTGGCTTTCCCCTTTGTGTGTGTGTGTGTGTGTGTGTGTATGGTGCTGGGGATTGAACCCATGGCATTTGGCATGCTAATTAAGCAATCTACCAACTGAGGTACATCCCCAGTCCTGCCCTTTTTATTTTTTGAGACAGGGTCTCCCTAAGTTGCTGAGGCTAGCCACTGGGATTATAGGTATGCATCACTATGCCCAACTGAATTAAAACTGGTTATAATTATAACTGGTTATAAGAAAGATGGAAAGCTGCTCTAGTCCACACAGACCTCAGTCTCTAAACCTCTTCCCCAAAAGGTGTCACCATTGAAACACAGAATGTTGGCTATAATCAAGACCTTTGACAAGATGGAGCTATTAAAACTTTATTGCTGTTAAGTCTATGGTTCCAAAGTTTACTAACATAAAGGGCTCTTCTTCCTAAAGACACACCTGTTATACTAAAATAAACTTGGTAGGAGTTGAACTAGAAACCTGTTCCTCGGCCAATGATGTTAAATCCAGGTAAGCAGTCCAAGCTCCCTTCTCCTTTGTGTTGAATTTCTCCTGCGTAACTCCTGGTGTCTTTTGCTGCCATCTCAGGTCAGGACCACTCCAGTCCCCCTGAAGTGCCATAGTAACATTGACCTTCCTAAAGGAGTAGTTGGATCTCAATAACTTCCTTTCCAGAAGGCTCCTTCATCTTTGGGAAGAATATTTTTCTCTCAACAAGCTTCAAGCTCTTGAACTCACTGTAACAAAGGACTTGATGAAAAGAGCCATGTTGTCAATTCCCTTCCCTATTTGCTCTACATCTTCCTAATTAAAAGGGATCCCTCAGTATGTCTTCCAAAACAAAGGTGATCTCCACTAGCAGGGATGCTGCTGACACCTGTAAATGGTAGTTTCTCTGCTAATAAAAATTTGAATTACTGCCTTGCTGAATTCTACCTTGTTTATTTTATGGAAAAATGAGATTTTACCACACATGCTATTTGGGGGGGCGGGGTACTGAAGATTTAATCCAAGAATGCTTTACTACTGAGTCACATCCACAGCCCTTTTTTATTTTTTGAGATAGGGTCTCACTAAGTTTCCTAGGGCTTTACTAACTTGCTGAGGCTGGCCTCAAACTTGCAATCCTCCTTCCTCAGCCTCCATCTGTAATCCCCAATCGCTGGGATTACAGGTGTGCACCACCATACCCAGCCACATATGCTATCTTCTTTTTTTTTAATACTTCTTTAGTTGTAGATGGGCACAATACCTTTATTTTATTTATTTTTATGTGGTGCTAAGGATCAAACCCAGTGCCTCACACACACTGGCCAACCACTCCACCACTGAGCCATAACCCCAGACCCTACACTTGCTGCCTTAAAAACCGTTTTCTTATAATAAGGCAGTTCAGTCAACTGGATAAGAATGTCTAGAATGCATCTGCCAGAATTTGAGTTCTTTTTTATTTTTATTTTCTTTTCTCATTCAGAGTTGGAACTCTTATCATTGTATGCTGTATGATTCTGGGCTATTTACTCAATATCTCCAAGCCTTATGTTTAGCAACAATGTGTCACATACAAGAAATCATAATAAAAGTGATTCTAACCTCATCAACACTTGAAGGAAGAAGAAAGTTATGTCTTTGTTGGCCATTGTGGCCTGTAATCCAGCAACTTGGGACTTCTGGTTATAGTGGAACTGGGTATTTCAGACCAACCCAACCACCAAACACAAACAGAATATTAAATAAAACTAAAAAATAATAAGATAGGCAAGCATGCAAGAGAGGACATGAGTGTAGAAAGGTCAGCATATTATTCAAGTCACTTTTTTCCTAGGCATTTGCTAGTCTGAAAGAGTGGCAGAAAGGCTGAACTTGTGAAATATTTCCAGAACTAAAAGAATAAAAGTTAGAATTCACAACCTAGTGAAGGTAGAGTACCCTAGTAAACCATCTCTGGCTTTAGACTAGCTTTTCAAAGGGTTGCACCCTAGAATTATAAATGAATTTAAAGTAAAGCAACCTTCACACAGATTGCCACTAGTTTAAAATTACTTGGTGGGCCCAAAATCTCAAACCCTGAATTAATGATCCTAGATTGCTAGTAATCCCAGGAGCCTGGCAGAAGCAAATACAAGTCTTTGGAGGGAGATAATAACATCTTAAAGTTTAATTATTTATACAACTAATTTTTGAAATACATTGTTTAGCAATCAAGTGTAATTAGTCATATGCTATGTCAAGAAAACATAAATAAGAATATAATAACTGACATTAAACACAGTCCTGAAGGCCACAAATATTGGAATTATCAAAGACAAATAGTTAAAAAACTATATTTGCCATGTTAAAAAGAGACAAAATTTTCAACTGAAAACTATAAATATTGTCATGGCAGCTGGGTGCAGTGGTACACTCGTGTAATCCTGGTGACTTAGGAAACTGGGGCAGAAGGATCACAAGTTGAAGGCCAACCCAAGAAACTTAGCAAGACCATGTCTCAAGATATAAAGGGCTAGGGTGTAAGTCAGTGGTAGAGCACCCCTGAGTCCAATCCCCAGCACCACAAAAAAAAAAAAGCAACATAACATTTTAAACAGAAACTAGATAACATTTGACAATAGAACAATACTATAGACCAAATTTAGGATTAGTGAATGGGTTTCCCAGCAGATAGCAAACTGGAAGATATGTTGGAAACATAATCATAAAACATTGACACTTCTGGGAATTATATTTGCATATATAATAATATAAACACTGAGTATTGATTTGAACAACTATTGTAAATATACTGAGAAGATCAAGGATAGTAGGGAAGAAATTGGCAATGCAAAAGAGAGAAACTCTCATCTGCCATAATATGAGTTGATAAATAATATCTAAAAGTAATATATAATATTTATATATGTAAGTACAAGAAGAGGCAGCTAAGAGTAATAAAATAGTTGCTTCAAGAGAGGAGTAAAAAAAGGAGGAATAAGGAAGGGAAATGCTGTATTTTATCAACTTTTTCAGTACTGCTTGACTTTAAAAATGTGTATGTATTACGTTAGTAAAATTTAAATTAAAAACAAAATAAAGATAAAGCAATAGAGCTGAATGAGCTCATAGATAGGCAGAGAAAAGAAGAACTAATATCTGAGCCCAGGATGGCTCCAATCTTTCAGGGTCAGATGAATGAAGAGGAGAAAAAGAAATGGAGCAGCCCAGACCATAGGAGGAAAACAAGAGAATCGTATCCTAGAAGCTAAGCAGTGACAAAATTCCCAAAAGAAGAGAATGACCAACCATGCTTCTATGGTGAAATTTGACCATTAAAATTGGTATCATCAGGGCTGGGGTTGTAACTCAGTGGCAAAGCGCTTGCCTAGCACTGGGTTCAATGCTTAGCACCACATAACAATAAATAAAGACATGCTCTTCATCTGCAATTACAAAAAAAAATGTTTTTAATTGGTATCATCAAGGATGGCCTTCAAGAGCAATTTTAGTGACATGAAAATCAGATGTAGGATCCAAGCGAGCCTGTCAGGCTGAAAAGTGAGGATGATTAGAATAGCAACTCTCTGGTTATAGAAGATGAATGGTATTCTCATATTGAGAGGATTTTGGACTGAGGAGGGGAGAACAAAATGCTGTGGCTAGAAGCCAGTGAGGCAGAGGAGCAATGTTCCAATTGAGGGTCTTGCACTGAAGCTGGAACAGAGGAGATGAAGCAAAAGATTTGCAAGGACATGATCTCCTCCTATGGAACTTGCTCATCTATGAGGAGCCACTCCAGTTATCTTAAAGAAATTGGACAGTGTATGAAGATTGGACATCACATGTACATGCATGATATGAAGAACCTGGTTATAGTTTCTCTTCCTATCTGCAAATGAATAGGCCCAGAATGTTGTAAGAGACTCTGATTGAATGGACATAAAAATACTACTTGTTTAAAACAAGTTAGGCTATGGTAACCAAACTTTATAGCTAAAAAGCACAACTATTTGGAAAGTATGAAAAGATATCTTGTAATTATAGTATGCCCTTATGTTTATGATACTTGATCTCTGTGAATGTTGATATTGTAAATAGCACCAAACTTTGTTTTATTAATTATAAAGAGATTATGTCTGAAATGGCACTGTCTTGTCAGTCACTTCTGTTTACATTTTTAGTTCTGTCCAGAGTGTATTTGTGAAGAGTCCCTTACAATTGTGTCTTATGAAGTCAGTACCCAACCACAATTACAGTTAATCACACAACTATTAGTCTATATTTTTAATAAACATACCAATTAAGAAAAAAAAGAGAGAGGGTTTTGTCTTGGTAAATGTGAACTTTTTCCCCCCCAAGGGTATTCGACCACTGAGCCACATCCCCATCTCCATTTTGTATTTTATTTAGAGACAAGGTCTCACTGAGTTGCTCAGTGCTTGGCTTTTACAGGCTTTGAACTCGAGATCCTTCTGCCTCAGCCTTCTGAGCTACTGGGATTATAGCCATATGCCACCACACCCGGCTGTTGTGAACTTTTGTTTATGGTTTCAAATGAAAACATTTGAATGTTGATGGGAAAGACCTATTACTGTTATTATGATATAGGCCAGATACATGATTTTCTTTTAAAGAGAGAGAGAGAGAGTTTTAATATTTTTTTATTTTTTAGTTTTCGGCAGACACAACATCTTTGTGTGTATATGGTGCTGAGGATAGAACCCGGGCCACACGCGTGCCAGGCGAGTGCGCTACCACTTGAGCCGCATCCCCAGCCCCAGATACATGATTTATATCCATATATTCATAAGCTAAATTCTGTTGGGTCGATCAGCATCTATCAACTCCAAAAGCAATAAAGCATAGTTGCTAAACATCTTAAAGAAAGAATTGTTACTTGTCATTCTCTGTAGCACACAACACACAAACATTTCTTTAATGAATGAACACTGCTCAAGTAGTTGTATTTGCTCTGCCAATATAAGCTCCATAATCAGTCAACCCAGAATTTAAACTTAATTATAAAGCTTCTAAATCTTTTTAATGTTTTGTTGTTTGTTTTTTTTTTATATCAGGGATTGAACCTAGGGGCACTTAGCCACTGAGCCGTATCTCCAGCCCTCTGTATTTTTTGAGACAGGGTCTCACCAAGTTGTTTAAGGCCTTGCTAAATTTCTGAGACTGGCTTTGAACTTGCAATCCTCCTGCCTTAGCCTTCCAAGTCACGGGGATTACAGGTATACACCACTGCACCTGGCAAAAGTTTTTAAATCTCTTTAGAGAAATATATTATTGCTTATATTAAAATATAAGCCTCAAAAATATGAAGCAAACCAGGAAAGTATATTTAACATGAAACAGATTTAAGCAATCATTTATGTTGTTGAAGGAGGTATAACATCAGATTCTTTGAAGAATTGAATTAGAATTATTGCAATATAATTCTTTCAAAATTAGAATTATTATAAGCCAAGTTGCAATAACAAACAAAGGTCATAATCAAAGATGTCGCAGAATTCCAGCAGAGAAGATGCAGTTCAACAAGTTACAGGAGCTTTGAAGTGAACCATTTCAATCTAGCTCCAGATAGAATTGTGAAAATGGTTTGACCAAGTGTGTGGTCCCTAGACCTTCCTCATTTCTTGAACTCGTTTTCTAAGGATTGTCAGTTACCCTGACCTATCTTCTTCAAAATTAACAAGAAAATGCAATGGTGGTATTATGAAATTATCCCCAAAGATACCCTTAATTCCAGTATCATGGCAGCCTCAGGGCAACCTTCCCAGGCTACAGACAAAGAATGCACCCTTGCTGAGTTTAAATAAGCTCTGTTATTTTCCCTGAAAGAAAAAGACTTGACTGGTTTCTAGCCTTTATGTTTTGCTTTTTCACCCCAGATTTGTGTTTATTGAAAGCCTAGCTTCCTGCTCAAGTAATGTAGTTAGAAATTGACATGG